GCTTAATTCAAGCATTTTCTATTCAATTCTTACTATGTAATATATGTATATATATATATATATACTCAGTTGTATATCTTAGAAAAATATAATTTGATAAATTCATTCATTTATATGGTATTAGTAGTTCACTAAGCTTTACAGCAAAACGATCCTTAATCTCACCATGCCTTCTTCAACAACATCTGAAATTTCAATTACCCCAAATGCCAACTCTGTTATTGTCCTAAACACTCACTCGTCAGTGAAACTGAGCAGCAACAATTTTCCTGCTTGGCACGTGCAGTTCAACGCACTCCTTGTAGGGTATGATCTCATTGGCTATGTTGATGGCACCACTGCCAGTCCAGCCCAAACAGATCCAACATACAAATGTTGGAAAAGACAGGATCAATTGATCATGCATGCAATCATATCATCTGTTGATCCAAGCATCATTACCATGTTGGGGAATGTCAAGACCTTTAGACAAGCTTGGGACATTCTCACTAAGATGTTTGCAAGCAAAACTCATGCAAGAATTATGAACCTAAAAGAGAGACTCTCTCGATTCACAAAAGGATCACAATCCATCTCTGAATACCTCAATGGTATCAAGGCTTTATCTGATGAATTAGCCATCATCAACTCCCCAGTGGACGATGTGGATCTTGTCATCCACACTTTGAATGGCCTTGGCTCTGACTATCGAGAAGTGACTGCTTCTCTAAGAACTAGAGAAAATTCTATCGGATTGATGATCTTCATGACCTCCTTTCTGATTTTGAAAATTATTTAAAGAGGGATGCAAGTGTGCAAGAAACTCATCTCATTGCTACTGCAAACACTACACACAAGGGAAAACAATTATACAACAAAACACCAAAATAGTATCATAATCACATAATGCCCAGATCAACATCGTCGGGCTTCTCAAAGTGTGTAGTATGTCAATTTTGTGACAAACCAGGCCATACAGCCAAGGTCTGCTACAAATTGCATGGCTACCCTCCAAAGAATCAACCTCCTACTGCTCTTCATACTAGGGCCATGTCCTCAGGTGCATCTGATTGGATCTTAGACTCAAGAGCTTCCCATTATATAAAAAATGAGTTGGACAACATGCACTTTTCTCAACCTTACACATGTTTAGATCATCTTCTGGTTGGTGATGGATCTGGACACACCATCTCCAACATTGGTAAAATTATTTTAAAAACTCCCTCTCAATCATTTCATCTCTCAAATGTTTTACATGTGCCTAAAATTACTCAAAAACTATTGTCTGTTTCATCTCTATGTCACACTAATCCAATTTCCATTGAATTTTTTTCTGATCATTTCTTGATAAAAGATTTGAAGACAAGGGAACCTCTTCTAAAAGGACAGCATAGCAATAGACTCTACCACATGCCCCATCCATCGTCTCTACCACATGCATTCATCACAACTACATACATTACTCCGCCATGGCATCACATATTAGGGCATCCATCTGATCGCATACTTAGACATCTCCTACCATCTCACAAAATAAAGAGCCAACAACAACCTTGTCTATCATGCAATAGTGTTAAGAGTCACAAGTTACCTTATTCCATTTCCAGTATCAAAACACAAAAACCACTAGAAATCATATATACTGATGTATGGGGTCCAACCCACATCAAGTCTTTAGATGGTTTCTCATATTATTTACTTTTTGTTAATCACTTCACCAAATATGTATGGCTCTATCCATTAAGAAATAAATCATATGTCTCTACTTTGTTTCCCACATTCAAAAATCTTGTTGAAAACTACTTCAAAGAAAAAATTATTTCATTGCACTCTGATAATGGAGGAGAATTCATCAAACTAAAATCATTTCTCCACACACATGGTATATCTCATCTCACCACACCATCACATACACCAGAACTAAATGATCCAGCTGAGAGGAGACACAGACATGTAGTTGAAACTGGAAGAGCCTTATTACATATGTCAAACTTACCACCCAAATACTGGTCCTTTGTATTCAAGACAGCAGTGTATCTAATCAATAGGTTACCAACCCCTATCCTTAACATGAAATCACCATATCAAGTCTTACACAAGAAAAACCTAACAACTTCACATCTTCATTCCTTTGGATGCCTTTGTTTTCCTTGGTTGCGACCTTATGTCTCAAATAAACTTCAATCCCAGTCTCAACCATGCATATTCCTAGGATATGCAGAATCCCAATACAATTATATATGTCTTGACCCAACAAATCACAAAATATACACCTCTCAGCATGTCAAATTTTATGACCACATTTTTCCATACAACCAACTTGTCAAACCTACACCACCACCATCTCTAACCATACCTAACATGCCACAACCCCCTCATACCATCATACATATCCTTCAACAATCACCAATCGAGTCACAAGCTATGCCCCATGAAGAGGAGGATCTTTTGACTTCAAATACAATGCCAGGTAATGATACTCATACACCTAATCTTGTTACTACACCTATTGTCACGTCTAATACCTTTGCAGCCCCTACTACTGAAACAAACCAAATTATCACAAGGTCCAAGAATAATATATTCAAGCCAAAAAGAATGTACACTGCAACAAAACATCCTCTACCTGAGAATTTGGAACCTTCAAACTTTCGTGAGGCAATAAAACATGCCCATTGGCGTCAGGCAATTGCCGATGAGTTTGGAGCATTAATAAGAAATGGCACATTCCCTCTTGTACCACCTAAGGCAGGGAAAAATATTGTTGGATGCAGATGGTTATTTCGTATCAAGAGAAATAGTGATGGTTCCATTGCTCGCTACAAGGCACGTCTTGTTGCCAAAGGGTTCACACAATGTCCTGGTATTGACTTCAAGGAGACATTCGCACCAGTTGTTCGCCCATAAACAATTAAGATTATTCTTACCATTGCAATCTCTCATCAGTGGTTAATGCATCAACTTGATGTGAATAATGCATTCTTACAAGGAGATCTTACTGAAGAGGTCTTCATGGACCAACCGCCAGGTATGAAATACGTATCACACCCTAACTATGTATGCACACGTCACAAGCCCATCTATGGCCTACGCCAAGCACCAAGAGCATGGCATGACTCTCTGAAAGAATTTATTATTGCATATGTATTTCAAATAAGCAAAAGTGATCCATCATTGTTCATTTATCACTCGGGTGATACTAAGGCTTATTTTCTAGTCTATGTAGATGATTTACTGCTCACCGGTAACAACTCTACATTCCTTCAAAGCTTCATCAAGGCATTATCTCAACGATTTTCATTGAAAAATATGGGACAACATCACTACTTTTTAGGTATTGAAATAATACCAACAAACTCTGGCATTTTTCTTTCTCAACACCGGTACATTCGTGACCTCTTACAAAAGTTTGACATGGAGGGGGAGAAACCATCTCCCACACCACTTTCTTCCACCGCTGTGCTACAACTTCACGATGGTACTTCATCCACCGATGCCACTGAATTTCGTAGAATTATTAATGTAGTATGATAAGTCTGGACGAGTAAGATTAAGGTATTGAAGTCCACCAATAATTCTACAAAATTCAGTGGCATCGGTGGATGAAGTACCATCGTGAAGTTGTATCAGGTTCAAACAAACCATTAATCATGGTCTCATGCTACGAAAACTGCCGCAAATAACCTGTTAGCATACTCTGATGCAGATTGGGGTAGGAACAATGATGATCGCACATCCACCTCAGCTTACATCATTTTCTTTGGAGGCAACCCAATTTCGTGGCTCTCAAGAAAGCAAAGAACTGTTGCACGGTCATCTACTAAGGCTGAATATCGTGCAGTTGCTACCGCTACCACTGAGCTCATGTGGCTACAAAACTTGCTTCATGAGCTAAGAATACCCATACATGAATCTCCACGACTATTGTGTGACAATGTGGGTGCTACATACCTTTGTTCCAATCCTGTACTTCATTCAAGAATGAAACATATATCATTAGATTATCATTTTGTCAGGGAACAGGTTCAAACCAACAAGCTTATCGTAACACATGTGTCTACCAAGGATCAGCTGGCAGATCTACTTACTAAACCACTTCCCACAACCAAGTTCACTGAACTCGTGTCCAAGATAAAGGTCATTGATGGAACTTTCATCTTGAGGGGGCGTAATGGACAAACAGAATCAATTTGAATAATGAAACAATTAAAGAATATTTGAATTGGTCATCAAATATTAAAGGAGAGTTATTTGGTTATTATTAGCATTTAGAAACATATAACTCTGTCAAGCAGTAACAGCCAGACAACAAAAATTTAGGCTTAATTCAAGCATTTTCTATTCAATTCTTACTATGTAATATATATATATATATATATATATATATATATATATATATATATATATATATATATATATATATATATATATATATATATATATATATATATATATATATATATATATATATATATATATATATATATATATATATATACTCAATTGTATATCTTAGAAAAATATAATTTGATAAATTCATTCATTTATATCTCTTTCCATATAATTCAAACTCGCTCTTAGGTAATGCAACCCCACTTCTTGTCAAATTACGCCTTTAGTCACTCTTTTCTAATTTGCCTTTAGTAAGTTGGGATGGTCCTACAACTTAAAAACAACATTGCCAATGGTAACAATAATTTGAAATTCAACAAAGACCTTATAAACCTTTAATATATCTCCCTCTCATTCTCCCTCCACTCACTAATTACAATATTAAAGCTAAATTAATAACGTGCATTTAATGTAAGTTTCTTTGTACTTCTGAATGCTCATTCCTTCACCAAAGAGTCACTATAACTAGCCACCAACAACAACCCTCTTTCACCTTCCAGGTAATTTAATTACCTTTAAATTTTCTTATACTTATTTATCAGTCTCATCAATTCTCTTCATTCCATATATATATATATATATATGCTTCACATTCTGTGATAATTTCTTTTGGTATATATGACAGAAAAATGCCACAAGAGGTGTCAAAATCACAAAACTCATTTTTCTCATCTCCTTCAAAAAGAGGATTGAAAGGTCTAGTTTCTATGAACATCAAAGAGGAGGAGAGTTTCAACGATTATGATTTGGCTCACAGAAAAGCAGAAGAAGCAGGTAAATAATATATGCATGCATTTTTTTATATATTAATTATTACACCATGCCATATAGTATACTCCATCTACTTGAAAATTAATTATTAATCCCGAGTAAAATGAAGTAAAACTGTTGGAGTATATGTAACATTATTTACTTTATGCAAGATAATTATTTTAATCTTCTGCACAAATTTATAGGGTTGATCCAAATTTGGGAGCAATCTAGTTTCTTACTATGGCAAATTTTATTGGAATTTGAAAATTATGAAGTAAAAGATATAGTGGATGTTTTGATTGACACTGAGCTTGAAAAAATCACTAGATAAAATTTTTATTGAAATTTTAAATTTTTTTGAGTAATTATTTTTTATAGTACAATTAAAATTATATAAAAATAAACAGACAAACGAATAATAAATTGTGCCACTATTTTTTTAGATGTCAAAATTAATTTTTTTTAAAATTACATTTATAATTTTAAATGACACACCATTACTATACATGATATTTGCTCTATGTAATTATAATTATTTACTCTGAATCAAATATCTCAACAATGTAAAGATGCACATAATTTACATTAATAAAAATGATTAATTGACAACAAAGATGCTTGAGTTGAGGCACAATTTTTGGTGTGATGAAAAGCAACAAATTTCATTTGATTCTTTTTATGTAATTTAATTTGTTTTTTCCTTTTTTCTTTTTGTCAACCTAATTATCACTTGACACCCCCCTTTAATTAACAAAAGCAAAAAAGAAAAGTAAAATAAATAAAAATGGCAATAGTTTGGTTTTGCATGTTAAAAGAACAGTGGCTACAAAAGAAAAAGAATGGGTCCAAATTAAGTATCTAGCCGAAAGAGTTGTAGAAAAATATTTTTGAATTATTTTGACTTTAATTGTTGATTAAGACTTTGTAAGTAAGCAAGGAGCAATATAATTTTGGTTACATAATGAGTTGACACACTTTGCTAAACTAATGATTGAAGGTTTACTTTTAACTTTAAAATTTTAATTATGTGTGTGGTATAATTGAGTTTGAAGTAATTGAGCAACGAGTCAAAGAGATAATAGAACCCTTTCCCCTCCCTCCTTTCACTAATTTCAAGAGAAAAATGGATAACATTATGATATTCAAAGTCAATGAAATTATGATATTTTATTATCGATATTACATTGGTTTAGGTGAAACACAATTTAAATTTCTTATGTAAAGTCTTACATTAGAGCTTTGTAGTAATTAGAAGAAGAGACTTTATTAAAAATAATCAGTTAGATTCTCTAAGGGTTTAGACAAACTTGATGATATTTTACACCAAATAACATGGTTAAAAAATAAAATATTTATTATATAATTATTTTAGGTGTGACTTTTAAAGAATTTAAAATTATGTGTATTCGATTTGCATCAAATTTTCAGCAATTTTAAAGTAAATTTTTATTAGATTAAAAAATAAATTTATCAGTATTTTAAAGTATAATTTTTCATCAATTTTAAAGTATAGTTTATACTATTAAAGTAAAATTTTATTCGATTAAAAAATAAATCAATTTTAAAAAATTAATTTGAAATTTGATTTTAATCGAATGTTCTCTTCAAAAAGACATGCAAACACATTTAATATTAACTTATTTTTCTTATTTACGATTAGATTTAATTGCAAAAAATAATTTTTTTTTTAAATTCACTATCAACATTAACACATCAACAACGAAATTGTCATGTCATTAAAAATTAAGGATAATGATTATTGTAATTTATAGATCTCTTTATTATAATCTCTTAGTGAATTTGGTCAATAGAATCAATAATTCCTTAATGAATTTGATCTATAGAATCTATGACATTGCTATATGATATTTATTAATTTTTTAAATATTTTTTATTATGATACGTATTGTTACCTGGATTTTTATATACTTTTAATTTCACGTGATTTTATTTTTATTTTTATTATTATTTATAGCTTAAAAACTAGAAAAATTTAAAAATAACAAATTGTTGTACAAGGCGGGTATCGTACCCACAAGATATCTCTCAAAAACAAATCACTTACCAATTAGAAAAGCTTGCTAATTTGTTTATTTAACCATTTTAATGTATATATTACATAACTATGTCAAATTATTTTAATATATAAATAAATATTATTTTAAAATATATATATATATATATATATATATATATATATATATATATATATATATATATATATATATATATATATATATATATATATATATATATATATATATATATATATATATATATATATATATATATATATATATATATATATATATATATATATATATATTATGTTTTCAAAATTTAAAAAATCCCAGCTTATTATACAAAACTTAATTAAAATATTATATTAAAGATTTCATTTATTTTATTTTAATTAAAATATTTTATTTATTTTTTATTATATTAATAATAAACTGAAAGTAAATTTATTAAAAAAACGATTATTCGTTTACTTTTCAATTTATTATTAAAATAAACTATTTTCAGTTTGTTATTAAAAAAAATTATTTTCAATTTATTATTAAAAAAATTATTTTCAATTAATTATTAAAAAACAAATTCTTTCCGTTAATTATTACAAAAATATTTTCAGTTTATTATTAAAAAAATTATTTTCAGTTTATTATTAAAAAAAATATTTTAAGTTAATTATTAAAAAAATATTCAGTTTATTACTAAAAAAAATCATTTCAATTTATTATAAAAAAATATTTTTAGTTTATTATTAAAAAAATATTTTCAGTTTATTATTAAAAAAATATTTTAAGTTATTTTTCAGTTTATTATAAAAAGATTATTTTTCAGTTTATTATTAAAATTTGTTTTTCTGTTTATTATTAAAAGAAAATTATTTTCAATTTATTATTAATTTTTTTTCAGTTTATTATTAAAAAAATTATTTTATGTTTATTATTAAAAAATATAGTATTAAGTTTATTATTAAAAAAATATTTTAAATTTATTATTAAAAAAATAGTATTCAGTTTATTATTTAAAAAAATATTTTTTGTTTATTATTAAAAAAAAATTCAGTTTATTTTTGAGTGGTTATATTAATTTATTATTTTTAATTATTGGAAGTTATATATATTAAATTTCGTGTAATTTGTCCCCTGTTTTTAAAGATTTATGCATATTTTGTCCTTGTTAAATTGATGATTTTATAAAAAATTCTTGAAAAATATGCGATTTTTAAAAAATTCCCCATTATTATTTTTTATGTTTAAATTTCTTGAGGGGACAAAATAGGAAAATCTGCATATGACCGGGGTTAATAACTATTTTCCTTCCGGTCATATAGGTGAGTTTTGAAAAATCCCTCCGTAAAAAAAATTCAAAAAACTTCTATCATATGAAGATTCTCTTGTTTTGTCTCCTCAAAAAATTTACACATAAAAAACAATAACATAGCAGAGAGATTTTTCAAAAATCGCCGACTTGATAAGAGGATTTTTTAAAATCTCCAATTTGGCAAGAGGCAAAATATATATAAATCCTTAAAAAAATGGCAAATTACATAAAATTTAATAGATTATTGATGGATAAAATTTTTGAGAGGACAAAACAGAAGAATCTTCGTATGATATGAGACTTTTTCAAAATTTTTTTACAAGTATTTTTTTTCCTTTAAAACTCACCTATATAACCAGGAGAAAAATAACTATTAAGTCTTAAAACAGTAAGCTATCATAGTCGGGTGGCTGAGGTGCCTTTTCTCATGTTAAGAGTCAACAAAACAAAAAAAAATCTACAAATGACAAAGACGAAATTTATATATTTTTACATGAATGTTTTTTAGATTCATTATATATATAGCAGAGACTAAAATAATTAATTAATCCTAAAAATTATCATTAAAATCCCTAAAAAAATTAAAATAAAAGGATTAAACTTCTAAAATTTAAGATGAAAATATTAAAATAAAATAAAAAATAATAGAAAAATCAAAATTACAATTAATTCTTACTATTATTACTTGAATTGATTTCAAGTTATTATTTAGGTTTGAATTTAACACCCTAGTCAAAATTAAAGTAATTTTTTTAATCATACAGTAATTTTATCTAATAGATTTACATTGAAACTTTTTTAGTTGCCTCTATATAAAAAACCTTGAAAAATTCTGTATATAGAAAATAAACTCTCATATTAAAGAAAATAATAAGCTTTTAGTCTATTAAAAATAGCTCAACACTCGGATACTCAATTAATTATCATGAATATCTATGAATAAGTGTTCATAGCTGAAACGGTGTCGTATTGTATGAAGAATCACACATTAGGGTTAACCCGCCATGAAGAACCTAACAAAGGTATTATCAATGGCGAACATTGCAAACAGGTTCAAGGCGCTACGAAGCCTCAGAATGGCTCCGTCAAATGGACAACGTCGCATCTTCCTTCCTACCTCCAAAACCCTCACAGCAACAGTTCTACCTCGCGCTTCGCAACGGTATCATTCTCTGCAACGTCCTCAACAGAGTCAATCCCGGTGCTGTTGTCAAAGTGGTGGACAATTCTGCACTTGCGGCTGCTTCTACGGTAGAAGGAGCCGCGCATTCCGCGATTCAGTATTTTGAGAACATGAGGAATTTTCTTTATGCTGTTAAGGATATGCAGTTACTGACTTTTGAAGCTTCTGATTTGGAGAAGGTTTGTTTTTCCTTCTTCATGCTCCTTTTATTTTGTTGAGGTTTTTTTTTTTTGTTAATTTTTCATTTAAATTTTATGTAAATGTTGTAAATGTTGAAATAACCAACTATTAAAAAAATATTACACAAATGACCACCTTTTGAAAAATATTACACAATTAACCATGTTTTAGAAAAGACTAACAAGGTCAAGCCATCTCATATGGCGTATGCACCTAAACTTACATGTAGGTGCCATATGAGATGGCGCATGCATTATCTTCACGCCATGTGACATGGCGTCTCCATTCAATATTTGGTTATATGCGTCATCTCATTTAGCTTGACCATGACACGTGTAAGCCATGCACACCACATGAGATGGCTTAGGATAAATGCGATATACCTAAGCGCCATCTCATATGACGTCTCCCTTATAAAATTAAAAGGATGCGCCATCTCATATGGCTTAACCATGTAAACGAATTCTGAAACACAGGTTATTTGTGTAAAATTTTTCAAAATATGGTTATTTGTGTAATATTGTTTCAATACTTGGTTATTTCAAAGAAATTTGTAAGTGTATCATAGATAATGAGAATGTTGCTATGTGGGGTTGTAAAACTAGATAATATAAGATTAGAAATGACAATATTAAAGAGAGTGTTGGGGGTATCACTAGGACTTTTAAAAAAAAAGGTGAACCAAACTGAATTTAAAATAATTGAATCGTTATGTTTGGTTAGTAAATTGAACCATATTATACAAACAATTTTAGAACTGAACCATGTGACAAATAAACCGAATCGAAATTGAAAATTAAAAATACTAAAAGCAAGTTTAAAAAAAAAAAAAAATTCGAAAAATAGTTTAACAGTTCGGTTCTATAACAAATGGTTCGGTTTGGAAAAAATTGTCTTCTAGTAGTTTGGTGTTGTTCGGAATTTCGAAATGGTATACCAAACCAATAATTTTGGTTTAGTTTGTTTCTGAGTAAATTGAAATTGTTCGATTCGGTTCAAGTGAACTTTTACCATAGTTTGATTGGTTCGTTTGAGTTTTCTCAGTTAACTGTGAACAACGCTAGGTATCACCTATAGTAGAAAAGATGTGTAAAATAGACTTAGGTGGTTTGGGCATGTAGAGAGAACCTACAGATTATGTGGTAAAGAGGGTAGATTAGATGAGAGGAGTCAAATAGCTAGAAGTAGAGGAAGACCTAGAAAAACTAGAAGAGAAGTTATTAAGAAAAATCTCGAGATTTATGATTTGGATAGAACATTATGGCATAAGTTGTTTCATGTAATAGACCCCACTTAGTGAGATAAGGTCTGGTTGTTATTGTTGTATGAATTTAATTTGTATGCATAGTCGGTGTAGAATATTATTATTACACATGCATTAAGTTATAACTCAATTATATAATTTTGTTTCCCAAACACATTTTGGTTTTGAAGATGAGACTATGTCTCACACTCAATTTCAATTTCAATTTCAATTTAATTTACTTGTTTGTTTTATTTTTGGAAATGGTTTTGAGTTTTCTGTTAAAGGAGGATTGGTGTTTTGAAACTTGAAAATGCAGGGGGGTTCATCGAATAAAGTTGTGGACTGCATTCTATGTTTGAAGGGATACTATGAATGGAAACTATCTGGGGGAGTTGGTGTTTGGAGGTATGGTGGAACTGTGAGAATTACTTCCTTACCAAAGAGGTCTCCTTCTTCCTCCATAGTTGGCAGTGAAAGTGCAGATGATTCACTGGATGAGTCTGAGTCATCGCAGTATGAACATCTGCTAGAATTTCTTACCCTATCTGAAGAGTTCTTGAATGAAGAAACCAAAACTAACAATGTTCTTGCTTTCCTTTTTGATCACTTTGGACTCAGACTTCTTCAGGCTTATATTAGAGAGACAGATGGGATTGATGATCTGCCTTTGAATACAATGGTCGGTAAGATCCTTACCGGTTTGTTGCAATGTTGTAGCTTATGTGTTAGTTTATTAAAAAATTATTTCTTGTTGTCTTATTTCTGATTTGGGTGACAATTTGTAGGTAATTGATGCCTTACTCAGCAAGGTAGTCAAAGATTTCTCATCTTTTCTTGTTTCTCAAGGCACAGAGGTACTTCATACTTGAATTTTATGTATTTCTACTTTCCCCGCAACATAATTGTCATTTATTTATCAATTTCCTTTTTCCCCGCAGCTTGGACTTTTCCTGAAGAAAATACTAAAAGGGGATATTGGTTGTCTCTCAAAGACGGAGTTTGTAGAAGCTATCTCACTATATCTTAATCAAAGAAGTATTTTGGCATCAAATGATTTCTCCAAATTCTGCATTTGTGGTGGCAAGCGTGATATTCTTCGACAAAATGTCAATTACTCTGCCAAATATTCTGAAGTAATCAATACTCAACAGAAACAACTTGAGGTATAATTTTGAATAACAGGACCTACTTCTCTTGTTGCTCTAACATATGAATTTATATTAGCAGTTTAGCACACCATATGCCAAGTTTCTTTTTTCTTGATGCAGACTGTGAAATACTTCTTTGAAGATACAAAACTTGAAGTCAAGCAAATTCAATCAGAGTGGGAACAAGAATTTAGTAGGCTAGGTAATCCTGTAAGATTTCGTTTTAATTCCATTAATAATGTCTTCCTTGTATGCTTACTTAAGTTCTATGTATATCCTAATCAGAGCATCATATTAAGAGCCTTGAAGTGGCCTCCTCTTCTTACCACAAAGTCTTGGAAGAGAACCGTTTTCTTTACAACCAAGTACAAGACCTCAAAGGTGCATAAGAATCCAAAACACGTCCTAGCAATGAATTTGATGAATTCATTGATTTATAATAATATTTAGATTAATAAATTTGTTGTCTTACAACAGGAGCAATTAGGGTTTATTGTAGAGTGAGACCCTTCTTAACGGGACAATCAAATGTGCAGTCTACTGTAGACTATATTGGAGAAAATGGAGACATGATGATTGTGAATCCCTTCAAGCAAGGAAAAGATGCAAGAAGGGTATTTTCATTCGATAAGGTGTTTGGAACAAGTGTAACACAAGGTATTTTAATTTTTCAATAACTTGCTGCAAAAGGTATATACGGTTTAGGGCCAACATGTACTTTGTTTTACTAGTATCATATACATTTATTTTTTCTTTCTGATGAGAAGAGTAGAAGACATTTAAACATGCCGAATCTTTACATGTCAATAAAGGTCATGGTATCATATCCTGTTAATATATTAATGATTTTTCTTGCAAATATATACTAATTGTTATGCTATTTTAGATCTTATTTGTTATTGTTTAAACCTTCTCATGATGTTTTCTTCTTTGTCATCTGCAGAACAAATTTATGCTGACACTCAACCGTTGATCAGATCTGTTTTAGATGGTTATAATGTATGTGTCTTTGCATATGGACAGACCGGTTCTGGGAAGACATACACGATGGTATTATTTACACATGCATAATATTTGTAGTAGTACATTTCACATTACATATGTTGATGCAATCATTTGAACTGGCAAAGTAGGTATACAATAATTTCAATCAGGATACCTACTATATAGTTCAATCATTTTTCTCATATATGTATATTAACTAACATGATTAATTGCTTTTGTAGAGTGGTCCCGATCTGTCAGCTGAAGAGACATGGGGTGTAAACTATAGGGCTTTACGTGATTTATTTTATATATCAAAGGAAAGATCAGATTCCATAAAATATGAAGTTTTCGTCCAGATGATTGAAATATACAATGAACAAGTGAGAGATTTATTAGTCAGTGATGGCTCTAACAGAAGATATCCTTTAAGCTAGCAGTGCTAGTATGATAATGATTTTTTTACTTATGTAAAGTAGCCTTAAATTCTTAACTAATTGTATTGTATGGATATTAGCAATAACATTTATTTTATGGTTTTTACAGTTCCTTAACAAGATAAACATTAGATATACGAAACACTACCCAGCTGAATGGCCTCAATGTGCCTGATGCATTTTTAGTTCCAGTTACTTGCACTCGAGATGTTCTAAATTTAATGAAAATTGGTCAGAAAAACCGTGCTGTAGGTGCTACAGCTCTAAATGAGAGAAGCAGTCGTTCTCATAGGTAAAATGCCATCTTCATTGACTAGGATCCTTTACATTAGGTTCTATGGTGCAAATTTATACGGATTCCAGTTTACATCTTCATGAATATAGATAGACAAATAATAGCCGTCCGATATTTGTATTTAATAATCTTATTCATCCCATCCCATCCCATCCCATTGCAGTGTTTTCACTGTTCATGTTCGAGGCAGGGAGTTAGTTTCTAACTCCATTCTTAGGGGTTGTCTCCATCTCGTGGATTTGGCTGGTAGTGAGAGAGTTGACAAATCTGAGGCTGTTGGTGAGAGATTAAAGGAGGCCCAACATATAAATAGATCACTTTCAGCACTTGGGGATGTTATTTCTGCTTTGGCACAGAAAAGTCTACATATCCCTTACCGAAATAGCAAGCTCACACAAGTATTACAAGATTCTTTAGGTAACATATCTCTATTTATTCTTTTCCTCCTGTTGCAAACTACTCATAATAATTAGAGATAATGACATTAAGAGTTAGATTTTGTTCTCCATTTCTCTTTTCATAACACTGTTCTGTTTCAGAATTTAGCACCATTTGTACAATTTTATTAATATATGACAATGCACATGGTTACTGACAAAGTTGTATGCTTGATTGATTTTCTATACTCTTAAACTAGTCCATGTTTCTTTTGTTGTTTTATCACTAGGAGGGCATGCAAAAACTTTGATGTTTGTTCATATTAATCCTGAACTTAATGCTATTGGGGAGACAATTAGTACACTCAAGTTTGCCGAGAGGGTTGCATCCATTGAACTTGGAGCTGCTCAATCTAATAAAGAAACTGGTGAAATTCGAGAACTGAAGGAAGAGGTTTGGACTTCGCTCATAAACTTTGCAATTTTGAATCTTAATATATACAACAAATGAAGGCAATTGGATCTTTTTTCAGGTATCAAGTCTCAAATTAGCATTGGAAAGAAAAGAAGCAGAACTGGAGCAGTGGAAAGCTGGGAATACTCGAAATGCTACAGAGTCTCCAAAACGAAGAGCTATTTCACCTTATCATTTACCCAAATATAGCACCAGTGGCAGCATTAAGCCTGAAACTAGTCAAAGACTCATTGATGATAGAAACATTGAGGTTGTTGAATAATTATATACTCAATGAAAGAAGTCTATGCGATATCGAATCATAATTAGTACTTTTTCTCAATAAATTCATCTGAAATTATATTTTCAGGCTAGAAGCTGCTCTTCGGGTAAACAAAGAAGGTCAAGGTTTCCCTCAGCATTTATGGACAAGGAGTCCATACCAAAAATGCCACTTCTCACTGAAGAAAAATTAGCGAGCTCAAGGAAAGGAAGATCACCGTCACCTCCAGTTAGAAGATCAACATCCACCGACAGAGGGTCAGTCATTAAAAGCAAGTTAAAAAATGAAACAACAGACAACCAGCCAGTATTGAAGCATCCATTTCCAGCTAGAGTACCTGTTAACAAATTTCTTGCCACAATGCCAATGGCTGCACCCCTTGAGAATAATGCAAGATTGCATGTGAATTCACCAGAGCCAGTAAAACTTGAAGAGGAACAATTCAAGCAAGCACTAACTGCTGTAAGACAAGGCGGTATTAGGAAAAGCAAGGTTGAAACTAAGGCTAAGGCCAAACATCATCTACCATCTCCCTTAAAGATTCAAAAGCCTGAGTTGATCCCGTTGTTTACTTCTGGCATCGAATATGCTGGTGAAAAGACAGTGGAGACACCTCCAAAGAGTAATCACTCTGAGCCCGAAAATGATCTTAGATTTATTGAATCTGCTGGTCGTGGTGCTTTGAATCACAATAAGATACGTCAGAACATATCAAGGAATTTTCAGAACCTTGAATCAAGGTATTGCTAGTTGTAGCATGAAGTAACTTTTCTTATTTAGTTACTAGAAGTGTTTCTTTTGTAAATTTAGTTGCTACAATTGTTTCTATCTTAAAAAGGATTATGTCTCCTTAGCATCATTGGTAACGAGAAATTATAATAGAGCATTTTTGTCATATGCAGAGGAATAGTGCAAGCGGAAGAGCCTTTATCAGCTAGAAAAGTTGAAAACAAACTTTTGAATGGTTCAGGTAGTAATCATAATGAAGGAAATAATACATCCATGCCTGAATTTAGAAGGAGCCGATCTACCCCTCGCAGAAAGTTTTTTGGTTTATCTTGAGTTTTTTCGTATTAAACATATGCTAAATTTATAAAAAATTATAAGGTTTATCTTTGTACAGGAACTACTACAGATGTTGGAGTTCCAGCTTACACAATTTATACACTTTTGAAGTCTTGAGGTTAATCTGTGCTACCTATAACCTATCTCTTGTATTGTGGGCATGCTTTGTAATTTAAACTTTGTATATCATCAATATATTTCTGAGTCATTGAGTTTTCTAGGATCTGTGATATAAAGTTGTTAGCTAAGACTAGTGAGTTGAATTGTCTTTGAAGTTGTTGATTTCATACAGCTCATAGTATGGTTGCTCATTTAATTTGATCCTCCATCATTGATTTCATTGATGTCTATTAAGTGAAGGAAATACAATATTTTCGTCTTCTTTCAAATTGATGTGCTGATGCTGACTTTTGTTTTTGTCTAATATAAAACAACAGAATTTTGAAGATGAAAATAAAAACGATTAGGTTATTTATTTATTTTTGTAAGAGCAATAATCAACTTCAAGAACACCTCTTCTATGAATCATATTGTGTTGTACTCTAAAATTTACCCTTTCATTTTTGAAAACAATTGATTCAAGACACCTCATGTTCCTAGGGTTCTCAATTACTCAAGACTACTCAAAGAATAACCGGACAAACCTTCTTCCTAAGTAGTTGACCTATAACTAGTGTTTTGCTTTCTTCAAAGAAAATTGAACTTCTAATGCCTCAATTGGATTCCATGATTCCTCATATGCTTCAAGGTACCCTCATGACAAGTTTCATGCTTTGCATCAAAGTTTCCTCAGTCAATTGCTCAGATGACTGAAAATTAATTGTATTGAATAAAAAGTCATTTGTGGTCAATATACAGTCAAAATTCAAGATTTTTGGTCAACATCGAGATTTTGAAATCACATTCATCATTTGATCAAGGGTTGATCATGATTCATCAAAAGACAAAAGTTGTTAAATTAGGATTATCTTTAGGAGAAGTCAACTAAACTTTGATCAAACATAACTTTCACATGCTTCATCATAAAATTTTCAACCAAATCCTATCTTGAAAGAAATTTAATTCTCTACAACTTTGTCTCTCTAAGCTCAAGTCTAAAAAATGTTTCATTTGAAAGATATGAGCCAAAATATTACAGGTCATTTTGAAAGTCAACAAAAAGACATTTTTTGTCAAAGTAATTTACAAAATAATAAAGACTTCAAATAAAAAAATGACTAACATGAAAGTTATAGGAGACATCTTGAGGTTTCCAAAATGTCCAAGATCACCTTCATATGATAAAATTTGAGAGATTTATGATTTGTGCAAGTTGAACAATTTTTGAGAAATACATGGAACTTCTATTGAGCAATTTTGAACCGTTGGACTAATGGGCCAAATTTTCGAGGTTTAAACATGTTTATAACATGTTACAGGACCTCTAAGTCCATTCATGCATGACCCATGATTATTTTATTTTATTTATTTTAAATTTTATTCAAATATTTTTTTAAAATAAATCAAATGAAATATCAAGTGATGGGTCAAGACATGGTTTATTTTCATTTGGATCAAGTTGGAAGCCCAATAACTCCTTGCCAACCATGCAAAACTGTGTGAAGGATAGGAGGAAAGATATCTTCAAATTATGGAAGATTTTCAAAATGTTTTGGAAAGAAATCATCTACTTGATTCCTCACGATTTTCATCCATTTTTGTTGACCTAATATGATGCTTATAAATAGAGGACACCATCAGTGAACAAGGGACACGAGAGTTGCCTCTAAAAAACAGTTTTAAAAATATCAAAAAAATTCAAAGATTAAAGCAAGGTGATCTTTCGATTTTTAGGTGGTTACAGTCCAAACTAGTGATCCATTCGTACTCCAGAGGTTCCCAGGAATCTCCCTAAGCCCCAAAACGATTCATATCGTGCCCAGACTCTCTCTCGATCACACCGTTCGGGGTAAGGTTTTTGAAACTTCAAATCTATTAATTTATGCATTTTTAACTGTTTTTGTGTGCCTTGATAGATTAATATGGTCATTTAGAACATGTTGGAGCCCTTATATGTGAGCTTGGACGTGAGAATGGATGCCTGCCATTGTTGACCGTACTTTTTGCATTTTCTTCATAACTCCGTTTACAGGTTGTTTCGGGCCAAAAGAACCCTGCCATTGGATTTGTAGCCCTCGAATTAGGGGGGATAGGATCCCATTAATGTTTGATTTTGCAGGTTTTAACATATTTTGGTGAAGAAGGTGGTCGGAGAAGACGACCGGAGCTAGGGCTCCGACCCTTCTCCGACGAGTCAAGTGTTCTGTGTCTTTGACGCTGACGTGACATAATGAAGCATCATGATTGACTCTCTCTTAATAATAGGGCCCCACTTGCGCTGCCTTGTTTTTTTTAAATTCAAATTAAAAGAATTGTTTTATTATATAATAATACGTTTGTGTTCCAGTAACAGATAAACAACATAGCTCAGTTGGCAAGGAGGAAGAGCGTGAGTTTAAATCCCAACGCCTGCAATTTTTTTCTTACTTATTTTTCAACCCTTTTTCTATTTTCTTTCTTAATTAATTTTCCATTAATTCTTTTTAACTAATTTTTTTTAATCCAACAAAAAAACTTATAAAATCAAAAAAAATAGGTTTAGTCTTTTTTATCAATTAATTTAATTAATTAGATTTAGGTTTGTTTTAATTAATTAATTTGTAATTAAAAATTAGATATTAGATATTTTAAATTATTATTAACATATAAAATCAAATCAAAAATACACAAAAAATTTTTTTCTAATATTTTAGACATTTTTGTTTATTTTTTTCATTTGTTTTCTTAGACAAATTGTATAGGTTGTACAGATAATGTAATAGCTTAGTTTTAATTTCTCACAAAGTTTTATTAAATATTATAACTACCCCGAAGTCATGTAATAGTCTTAGGGTTTTACTTTTCACACTTATATTTTATATACATGTATATATAATTGTTAGATGTGTGCTAATAGAGTTTGTATGGAAAGACAAAAACAAATGTTAAAAAATCCTAAAATACTAAGATAAATAACTGAATTGAACAAACGTGCACACTTACGCCTCTAGGGTAACCGCCTCTTGTTACCTTTGGATAATTGGTAATGTCCCTCGAAAGTAGGGATACTTTAGCAAAATACCCTCGAACAAAGATCATAGTCCCTCGATGACCCTTCGATGTTGTCTACGAAAATGATATAGTCCCTCTGATACAATTGCTAAAGTATCTTTACGTGTTGTCTTCAATGACCATTCGATGACCCTTCGTCTGTCCCTTCACATCCAATAGATGAGATTACCTACCAATTAATGGTATGAATAATACTATCTCTAAAGGAGAAGGAAGATAACAAGAAAGACCTTATCAATGGGTAAAAACTCTTGAATGTTTGCTCACAACTCAAAACATTTTTCACATTACACTGTCAAACGAAACATTTTCAAAAACACTTTGTATGCATTCTTGAGGACCGATACAATAATCATTACAAAGTCTGTCTTACATTGGCAATTTCAAAATATTTTCGAACAAATCATACACACACAACAATTTTCAAAGTGAGCTATCGATTAAGAGCCCGTAGATAACTACGGATGAAAATGGTGTTATTCCCTTTTTATAATTTACCCTCCGAACTCAAAATCTATCAAGGTCTTTCCTGTCCTTTTTACCCTTTCATAAATATTGGATAAAAGAAAAGTCGATAACGACTCTTACTAACTGCAACATTTGCGATAAAATACTAACAAATCAATTCTCCAACCGTATTACACATTACTATGCAAAATAGTCACATATTCAATGTGTTACAAGATTGTCATACATCTTCTCTAAACCTCAAAAAACTTAGTTTTCCTATTTTGTATTATGAGAAGTTTCTCAAAACCACGAGTATATATGCTCCTCAAAATATTTTCATGTAATTGCCTTTGTTGGACTGTAAGAAGTTCTCCCATATTGTTATTACTAAACCACTCATTTTTTAGCAAATTTACGTGATCAAAATCTAAACAGAATGGATGTGATAGAATTGGAGCTTCAAATATATTCTAATATTTAGCAATGAGATGTTCAAATCCTAATGGTACTTTGAAAAGTATTGACACTGCCTTGTATGTGTTGCAAGCAGTGGCCTCTAAATTACTTATGAACTTATTCATGTGCACACAACATAATTGAACTTTCTATTGTTCGATCAAATTAATGTTTAAGCGCTTAGCTCCACTCGACACAAACTTCTTTTCATTTACTGAAATTTTCATTTGAAGCTTAGAGAAGTACCGAAGGATTGAACCAACTGAGTTTAACAACCAAATTCTAAAAATTAAATCACTGTATTACAAAGACATCATCTTCATAGCATATGTGAAGTTAATTGATCTTAACTTCCCATATGATTGAGGTTTATCATGATAAGCATATTGGTTAGGAATAAAAATGCCAGTACTCAACAATTGATCATTAAAGTTCACACTACATCTGATTCCAATATTAGAGTACTAATCAGACCATTAGATTCCTTTCTCTTAGTCATTCATCTACGAAAAATAACTATGATTGCTATTTGATTTAAAATTAGTAGACAACTAACCTTTTTCCATATCCAAGCAATATGATCATGACTCTCATTATTAGTTCTCATGTATATGTGTGAAATCTTATTTTACATGTAGTATACTTTTAATAAAGACAATAAATTTTGATGATGATAACGAATGTCTACTGTCAAGACAAGTATAAGCGGTTAAGCGGATAAAGATGCAAACCTAAGTATTAGAGTTTGATAGACTTGACTATCCGATGATGGAAATCAAATGGAATGTAATTCAAGTCTCATCTCAAGGGAACTCAAACAAGTGTTTATAAAAGAAAGCATCTGACAAAGTCTTGATGTGCAAGAAATTTCTGTCTAAATTAGTATGATTGAACACTTTGTAAAATATATGGGTGTTTTTGTAAAAGTACATGGTAAAGCG